TATATCATTTCATTCAACCCTCACAAGAGTCCTAGCTATTATTTCATTCAACCCTCATAAGAATCCTACTGTTATTACTTTGTTTTAGCAGATAAAGAAACTGAAGCTTAGAGAAGGCAAATGTCTGGCCCAAGTTTATGTGTCTCATAAATAGCAGAACTAGGATTTGAACACAGGCATGTCTAATTAAAGAGCCTGTACCTTTAACCACCATGCTACAATGTCACTTTCTAGAATTGGGTTGCTTTGCCTACCTACAGTCTCTACTTCCTTGACTCCTTCCTCCACACTGCCACCAAAGAGATACAAATTGGATTGCATCACTCCTCCACTTAAAAAATGGGTCCTTAGTACCTGCCTACAAGATAAAGTCCTAAATCAACATGGCATACAATTAAGGGAGGAAACGCTAAATGAAGTCATGGGATGGACACTTGTGCAGCGAGCAATTACTCTTCTCATTGCCAATTTCTTCCCCCATTCCATTAGATAAAGTCATTCATTCAATAAGCTTTTGAAATGATAGCACTTCTTGAATGGTGTTTATCTTCTCCACATATGGATATTCAACTTAAACAAGGCTATATGGCTAGGGCATGTCATCAGTATAATCACACAGGGTTCCCTGCTCAGAAGTGTTTAAGGTTTAGTACTCTATGGTCACTGTCTTGAAATACTTAATAATTATATCTTTACATTTACATTTGTACATGAATTACTATGGGACAACGGAGCACAAGCCAGAGACTTACAGCCCCAGCTCATGGGTGGTCCTGCTTCCCTGTTGCCTCTCTGGGATGAGTTTTCATCCCAAACCCTGGGCCCTGCCTGTCCTCCCCTTCCCTGCTCTTGCCCCTTGACTGCTACAGCAACCAAGTTGCATTGGTGGGGTGGTGGCTCAAGTTCTGCTGTTGCACTCTGGCCCCAGTGGGGGTCTGGGCACAGGTGCAAGAATGGTCGTGCCCAGACATGCATCCTGCTGCTTCAAAAGTAGGGCAAGACAATGCCAGTCCCTGCCAGGGGCTGGTAGTGTCACAGTGTGTTCAGTAGGCAACTCTGCGGGGCCCTCTTGCCCACCCCCAATCCAGGTATTGGGAGATTGCAATCTCTTGGGTGTCACCTGTCCATTGTGGATTGGAGCAATAGGCCCAAGAAAAGGGGAGATTGACCCATCCCATCCCAGCCAGGGCTCCACGTCTTTTTGAACCGAGCCCTATAAATAACATAGCTTGCTCTGTCTATGGCTCTCTGATATGTCTCTTTGAAATGTCAAGTCATAATGAAAATGTGACATTAATGTTACCTTCAAGGGTGTTGAGTGCAAGACACTAACAATTTACTAAGTTTGGGCTTTTGCACTGACCTATATTAATGTGTGATTTCATGCTATTTTGCATGGCAAGGAAAGTTTTTCAAAATTCATTTGATTGCAAGATCAATGTGAAAATGTATTATCTGCCTGCCTAGAGCATGGCCAACTGTTGACCTCTCCAATTAAGTAGACTTGAGAATGAAAATTCAATTACAATGAACAAACGTTTCTTGAACACTTTCAATGTGTGAGGCTCTATGCTGGGGCCTGTGGGGAATATGCAGATGTGTCAGATTTATTCCTGTCTATGGGGTGCTTGCAAGCAAGTTGAAGGAGGCACAGATACATGCGTGGATAACTAGCATCGCATGCTGTCTTAATTTATGAAAGCAGAGGAAATGGAATTAGTGAAACTGGATTGTTTGTAGGCAACCCCTCATAACAGGCAATGCTGGTTCCGTGCCCTATGTCTATTCCCTTTCACGTTATAGAACTCCAGCTCAGTGATAAATCTTAATTGGTTTAGCCCTGTCTTGTAATCCCATGCCTCTTGTTAGTGATTGGTTTAGAAGTGGGCATGTGACTCAATTCTGGCCAATGAAACATCAAGGAAAGTCTCTGGGTTACTTTTCCAAAGATTTTCTTGTAGTATAGAGAGCTTCAAGGTTAAGGGCACAGACTCTGGAGTGGATTGCCTGGTTTAGAATCCTGGGTCCCTTGCTAACTAGCTGCATATCACCTGGAAAGTTACTTAAGCTTTCTGCCTCCACTTCGTCATCTATTAAATAGGGTTAATGATAACACATACCTAATGGGGTTGTTGTGAGGATCAACTTCCATGGTCACCCTGTGCCTGTGATGGGGGACCGCATGGGACACAGAGCAAAAGAAGGAAAAAAACCTCAGTACTTCACAAAATCGCTGAGTCTCTGAGTAATCAATCCTGAGCCCACTGTACCTCTGGACTTCTTGCTGTGTGCTATGATAAATTTCTTTATTGTTTAAGGTATTTTCTGTTAGGATTTTGTGTTACTGGCAGTCAAAGGCACAATTCAACCTCTACAGTGATGTACTGGTGTGTGTCCTGGAGTTCCTTAGCCTGTGTGTTTTTAAAGTTCCCCCTGTGTGTCCCAACTGCATACCCCAATACGTGGGCTGCCTCAGAGCAGTTCCTGATATCAGTTCTGGCCAACTTGCTACAACTCCTCATCATTCTGGCTGTATCTTTACTTACTTAGATAGTTTCATGAAAGACTAAGATTTCCAAGGTTTGCCTAAATCCAAAGCTACTCTTGACATTCACAGGTAGGTGTATTAGTCACGGTTCACCAGAGAAACAGAAGCAATAGGATATACATACAGGAAGAGATTTATTGTGAAGAATAGGCTTACACGATTACAGAGGCTGAAAAGTCTGTTAGTCTGCCATCTGCAAGCTGGAGACCCAGGAAAGCCAGTGGTGAGATTCTAGGTCAACTACTAAGGCTTGAGAACCAGAGGAGCCAATGGTGTAAATCCCAGTCTGACAGCAGAAGACCCATGAGCTGGGGCTCCAGCAAGCAGGCAGGAAGCAAAAGAGGTGAATTCCTCCTTCCTCCACCTTTTTGTTCTATTCTGGCCCTCAGCAGATTGAATGACACCCAAGCACATTGGGGAGGGTAGTTTACTTTACTAAATCCACCTATTCAAATGCTAATCTCATCCAGAGATACCCTCAAAGACATACCAGGAAATAATGTTTATGATGGACACCCCTGGTGCAGTCAAATTGACTCGTAAAATTAACTATCTCAATGAAACACATGCTTTGAGGTCATTTTCTAATACAGCAGCATAAATTTCTCCCATAAAATATAATAAATTGACACTTTAATAAGTAATCCCCTTTGATTCTCCATAATTCTATAGATACAGGGTTGGAATAATTGGTAAAGTTACTAAATTCCCCACTGAAATAAGCTCCACCCTACATTACATCATTTTTATGGTAACATTTACTAAGAACTTACTCAAATTTTCAAAACTAAGATGAAGACAATGAATAGCAATTTTAAGGAATACATCAGGGAAGTTATTGCTTTCATGCACTCAGAGATGCATCCTCTGAGTGGTCAACAGAAAGTTATTTCCTCACACTCACCTTGCAGCATATATCTGTACCAAATTTGTGCCTTAGCAAAATTACAAATTCATAAGTATTATAGATTTTCAGGAATGCTCAAACATAGAGAAATAATATCAATTTTTGGATCCTTAAAAGTTATGGGTTTCATCTCTTGTGCCCACATCTATAGACTGACAGTGGGTTCCTAGAATGTCCGGCTGAGAAGGACAGTGAGGTCACATCCGGGTTCAGCAGGAAGGAGCGCTGGGATCCATTATTAATGTCTGCCCTGCATGTGGGTGGAGGCAGTGGCAGCAGGCATATTATATTTCTGCCATCCAGGGTTTCTGCCTACCATTCTTGAAAGGCAATTAGAACAATAATTCTAGTGGTTCTTAACTTAGGATCAATCTATTTCATCAATGCACATTTATTGAGCACTTTTGATGCATTAGGCATACTGTTAGGTAATATGGGAAATTAAAAAAGGAATTGGACATAGATCCAGCCCAGAAAGAACTTAAGTTTAATAGAAGAGAAAGATGTGTGCATGTTTAGGGTACAAAGTGATAAAATGCTGCAAGAAAGGACTCGATAAGGAGAGGGAGCAGAGGATATGTCAAAGGTGGGAAGGGGTACTTTCAGCAAGTATGGAAGGTGGTCGAGGCATGCTGGTGAGGATGTATTGGAGCTGAGCGTTGCGGTGATGTAAGTGAGATTGTTCATGTGGATAGGAGGGGAAGACTATTTCAGACTGAGTGGTCAGAATGAGCAAAAGCACCAGAGTGGAAAGCTGAAAGCTCTGGGTGACTGCCTGACTGATGAGAATATGTAGCTGCTGTTTATTCCACTTCTCCCTACAGAGTGAGCAGGTTGCCTGGTGGGCTTCATTAGACTGTTGTGCTGATGTGACATCCATTTTTATACGAGTTGTTTGGGCCAGGGGAAAACTTGCTCTTTTGAAAGATCATCTTTCATCACCATTTGACGTGTGACATATAACAAATGTCTTAAAGCAAAGGAGAGGCCTCACTATCTCACGCTGTACGTTTTTATTGTAAACCTAAGAGAACTGACAAAGGCTCCATCTTTATTTCCTTAGTTACACACAGACTCATCAACTCTTGCCAACGAAGAACAGTCCTGACATCATATTATTCCATTACATGAATAAGGCAAAAATTCTTAACACGTTGCTGAGCTAGAAACTAGCTGTTGATTTGTTGAAAATATTTGCAGAATATAGATTAAAATTGCAAAGAGAGGATCATTCCTAACATGCTCTTATGTCAGTCATACATTTTGCATACATATAAATATGAGGTAGGGTTTTGTTAAATTTCTTTTAAAATACTTCAGAAATGAAAGCAACGCTGTTTGTTTTGCTAGAATAATAAAGAGAAACCAAAGATTAAAAGAAATTTGTTCATCAGGCACATGCAAAAAGCTATAAAGAGCCAATGCAAGAAGCGACAAGAAATAGACTTGTCAATAAAATTAGGATGCAAATTTTAGCGTTAGGAAAGAAAAAGGAAAGAAACCTAAATATCCTTGTAAAGTTTAGAATGCATAGATCATGAAGAATGACCTTGACTGTCGATGAACTTCACAGGCCTTCATTTTACTTACTGCTTGGCTTGTTACTGTCTTCTAAGAAAACCTAAAACAGAGAAGGTGATTCTATGACACTGAAGTAAGTTCTAGCCAGATCCAAAGCTATAAGCAAGTTTGGCTTTCATGTCCTCTCTTCCCCTCCCTCCCCCTTCCCTATTTCCACTCTCATTCCTTTCCCTGGAGTTTTTATGGGCAGCCTTAAATCTATATTTACCCACTATATTTAGTAAGTTTGATTATGCATAGCCTAAATTCAGATCTCAGACGATGATCCACATTTTTATTCACTGAAATGACTTTTTCTTTTTGATAGGTTTATAGCAAAGACTAAACACTGACTTATTTTTTCCTACTCAATAGACTCATTTTGCCTCAGGCCCCTCCCCTTGCTGTTCCCTGCAGGAAAGCTCTGCTCACACATCTGCCCTTGCTGGCTCCTTCCTGACATTTAGCTATCTATTCAGATGCCACCTCTTCAGAGAGGCCCCCAGGAAGACTCAATGTAAATAACACTCACCTCCAATCCCTGGCCTTGCCAATTTCTAGCATATCACTCTTGTTTTTCTGTAATTCCTTTATGTAGGCCCTTTAAGTTTTTATGTAATTAAAAAATTGTTTACATATAGTAAAATTTACCCTTTTTAGTATATAGTTCTTTGAGTTTTGACAAAGCATACAGCACGTTTTAGCATCACTACATTTAAGATATAAAAAAGTTCTATTGCCCCTGCCCAAATTTTCCTGTACCCCCTTATAGCTAACCCTTCCCCTGACCCCAGCTCTGATATGTCTTCTGTATCTATAATGTTACTTTTCCCAGAATGTCATAAATGGAATCATATACTTTGTAGCCTTTTGAATCTGGCTTCTTTCACTAAGTATACTGTATTTGAGACTCATCCTTATTGTTGCATGTATTAGTATTTCATTCCTTTTAATTCCTGAGTATAATTCCATTGTATGGATGGAATACAGTTTATTCATTCTCCATTTAGAAGACATTTTAGTTGTTTCCAGTTTTTGGTGATTACAAATAAGAGTGCAATAAACATTCAAATATAGTTTTTAGTGTGAATGCAAGTTTTCATTTCACTTGGGTAAATACCTAGGAGTGAGATTGCTGGGTCATGTGGTAAGTAAATGTTTAACTATATAAGAAACTGTCAAACTGTTTTCCAAAGTGGCTGTACTATTTTGTATTCCCATCAGCAATGAATGGGAGTTCCAGTAGCACCACATCTTTGTGAGCACTTAGTATTGCCAGATTCCTTTATTTTATATATTCTAATAGGTGTGCGGTGGTATCTTATTACGGTTTTAATTTGCATTTCCCTAATGACCAATGATACTGTACATCTTTTCACATGCTTATTTGCTATTATGTCTTTTTTGGTGAAGTGTCTGTTCAAATCTTTTGCCTTTTTTTTTTAACCCCTGAGTTATTTTTTATTATGGGACTTTTTTGAGACTATTATATCACAAGTTCTTTTTATAATACAGATATGTTTTTTTTAAGGTTTTTGATTTCCAAGTATATGACTTGTCTTTCCATTCTTTTAACGTGTCTTTCAAAGATTACAAGTTCTTAATTTTGATGAAGTGTAATTTGTCATTTCTTTCTTTTGAATTTTTGGGATCGTAGCTCAGAAATCTTTGTTTAATCTAAGGCTGAAAAGATTCTCTTCTATGTTTTATCCTAGAAGTTTTATGTTTTTAGGTTGTACATTTTAATCTATGATTTCTTTTGAGCTATTTCTTTTAGATGGCATGAGATACGCATTAAGGTTCATTCTTTTTATTGCTACTGATATCCAACTATGTCAGCACCAATTCTGAAAGATTATCACTTCTCCGTTGAATTTTCTTCGCAACTTTGCCCAAAATCAATTGACTTTATATGTTAGGGTCTGTTTCTGACCTACATCTTACTCTATTGACCTGCAAGTCTGTCCTTTCATTAGTAGTCTGCAGTCTTGATTACTGTAGCTTTATGGTAAGTCTTACAATCAGGTAGATATTACTTAGTTTATCTTTTTCAGAAAACTTACCACTACCTGAAATTATCTTATTTGTCTGCTTTTTCGATGTCTGATAAGACTCTCTAGAACCATAAAACCAGGGAGTTTGTACTGATCTCATTCTCCATTATACCCCAGCACCAAGAACAGTGCCTGCCACACAATAATTGCTTAACAAATTGGTTGAAAAAAAGCAGGAAGTTAAGAAATATTTAAGTTGAGGAAATTGAGGGAACTGAGTATATGGGGGAAAGAACCATGAAATTGTTTTGTGAGAAGCTGTGACTATAACAGAGGCTTGGCTTGGGGTGCTAGCCTGGAAAATTAAATGCTCTTTTGGCCATGGCATTTTGATCATAAGCTTAGTTCTTTTAGGACACATAGAAGCTTTATGGGACCACATTCATTCACTCATTCATCAAACATTTATCCAGTACCTATTGTGGAACATGGTGTTACACAAGACAGTAAATGAGGTCTTGTGCTCAATGTATGAGGGGTCTCAGACAAGTAAAACAATAACTGAGACTGAGTCATCCAGTTGGCATAAAAGTGGTGTCTGAACAGGGCTCCCTGAGTGACGTGGAAAAGCATCAAACCCAGGCTCAGGCTTGCAAAGCTTTGCAGAAGAGGGCGCGCTTGATTAAGTCTTCAAGTTTCAATAGGAAAGGTTGAACCCCGGCTTCCCTTTAAATGGGTCACTTTGTAACAACGTACCACAGGTTTCTGCTGGTGTTCTAAAGCAGCTCCAGCTGTGTCCTGGTCTGGGTTACTTGTGGTGGTTGTTTTACGGATTAACTCTGCTCAAGGTCTCCCAATAAACACTCTCTTAACATCCTCTCCTTCTCCTTCATGTCACTTACTGCAGTTATGATGACAATTAATCATGCATTTAGCTATTTGATGCCCACTTCCCTCCCGCTACAATGTGAGTTTCCTGGAGGCAGGAACTGTATCTATCCCAGTCACTGCTGCATTTCTGTTCCCTGGCACAGGGAGTGCCCAGCCAGATCCTGTGACAGACTGCACAAGGCCTCAATGACGAAGCAGGAATCTCAAGGTTCTTATAAAATCCGCTGGGTTACCTGGGAGCTTTTCCTCTCTGATGAAGTGGTTTTGTCCTCTGGTTCAGTTTTAGGAGTAACTGTTAGCTCTTCTTTGATTTTCAAATTACTTTAAAATAATTAATAATCGAAATAAATGTTCCCCCCTCTACCGAGGAAAAACAGAAACTTTCACATTATGTGCAATGGTTGAGTTCATGGTTTAAGTAGTTAATTTGTTGATCTTGAGATGCTTTTAGCATGTCAATGATGCTGGGATAATATTGGAAATCAACCAAAGACAAAAATGAATCTTTTGCTCTTGTGTATTAATAGAGTCTACTGTGCCCTAAAAATGGGTAGATCAAAAAGCAAATGGAGAAAAAGTTATTTTGGTACTAAATTATAATTCTTCTGGGTAACATTTTAGTTCTTCCCAACACACAACACACAGGCACACACATGTGCTTCCTCTCGGTTGCTACAATAGCAAATTGGAGTTGAATGGGGGTGGTCAGGAGAAGGGCATTCCCATTGCTGAACACTTAACTGAGCTTCTACTCTATGCGAGGCACTCTCCAAAGATTCTGCCATTTAACTAAACCACATCTCCCCTAGGATGCTGAGGCCTAGACACCAGGAAAGGGATGGTGAAGACATACAGTCCAGCTCTGGAATTCTCAGGGATGTCAAATTTCTAAGCTCCCTCGTCTGTTTATGTCAGCCAGACTTGCTGAGGGAGAGAAAAGGGAAAAGAAAAGGCATCTGTCTTTGCTCAATAGCTGCTCTGTTTCGACTGGGCTACGGCCATCTTGAATTTTCACCAGACCTCTGAGAAGCTCTCACTAGGACCTTGTGGCCACTGTTGGGGTCTTCATGCACTGCAGGGGTTGCCTCTGGCCAGGGCCCTCTCTGGGTGGTTTTCTGGTAAAAGCCTTGTTTTTATAAGACAGAGTAGAATGGGGTGGGGTGTGCTCAAGAGTTACCAGTTTACATGGTTCAAGCATTCAAAAGGTGAGTTTTCTAAAACCTTCCAAATATTCATATTCTTTTCCAAAATCAAAATGATTCTGTTTGGTATACACTACAAATCATCATCTGTTTACCTTATTGAAAGAGGTGGAGAGCAGAGAACACAGAGAAAATGGAGAAAGAAAGGAAATGAGTATTTATTGAGCACCAATTATGTGAACTGTTAAGTACTGGGACACATTATGTAAATCCTTGCACTTCCAGTGAGGCATGTGTTTTTATACCATTTTACAGATGAAAACACTAAGGTCTAGGCAAGCAGCTTAAATAAATTGTCCAGAGTTGGTCAGCACGCTAGTGAGTAGGCAGCCTGTCCTCTGTGCCCTTTGCTCTGCATGGCGTAATCGTGTGAAGGAGGGAGGGGAATGACTCCTCCCTTCCCTCGGAACTAAGGATGAGATCCATATTTCTAATGAGCAACGGGTTTCAAAGATTCATACCATGCGTGACAACTTGCACACAACATATACCATTGTAGCTTTGCCTGTCTTTTTCCTCTCCTTCAAGGAAAAAATCTCATTTCCTTATCTCTGCTACAGAATTCTTGGTTTGGTTTCCTGAGTTTCCTCTTCTCTTCAAGATTTTCGATACTACAGAGACCCAATGCTTTGAATAAAATCCTGGGGGAGACATTATATAAAGCATATATGAGGAAAATGTCTCTTTCTTAATAAGGAAGTCAAGAGTGATAGTGTCCAGTAGTTTTATTTGTGTGGCTGATTTCACGTGTGGATTTTTAATTGGCTAATATTGAATAGGTGTAAAGATGGGGAGTATTTTTTTCTGGAAACATTTGCTGTATTCATCTTATTGTGGCAAGCTCTTTGCATCAAGCAAAATCTGCATAGCTTCTAAAGAGAGGCGTGTCTTGGATTACATGATCTACACGTCGGATGAATCTCAAAAAATGTAAATCAAATGGACTCCTGTTTTAGGTGTATTGAAATAACTGCCACCTAAAGTAGTTCCGTAGTTAATGAAAGTCAAAGGAGATCATTTTTAAACTCCACATTTTGCAGATGAGAAAACCGAATGCTAGAGAGAGAACATGACTTTGCCTGGGGTCACGCTGCTCATTACAGCGCAGCTGGAAGACCGAGCTCACTTGGAGCTGGAGGATGTGATGGCTCCCCCTGTAGGACTCTCCCGAGCTCTCTGTTTCAGTATCAGATTGTTCTATTTATATTGAATTCCGTTTAATGGATTATAAAACATTAAACTCTGTATCAGACTTCAAGTCTCTATAGAGAGGAAGAGAACTAGCAGATACTTTTTCTCCTTTTAGGAAAGATGAAATTACTCTGAACCTCTTTACCTGGTCCTAGGGGCAATTGAGATTTTGTAGACATGAGTGTGAAATGGAGGGGAGCATTTCTTACCTAAAGAATGGATTCTTTAAGTCGAGGACGCTCTCAGATCTGAAGCCCGTTTGGTTCACCAGCGCCACGATCTGAATGTCATAGCTCTGTCTGTATCACGGAGAAAAACACATCATCTCGCAAGGCTGATTAGATATTCACGTACATCCAAGGCATCTTTAACACACGCCTGCTTCGTGAGGTGAGAGTATGTGTCTGGCATCTTATGTATGTCTGTGTCTATTTATTCGGATGATATTAATATTGGTAGAGGCAACCGAAGCCTTGTGTATTCATTAGAAGGGTTTAATAGCTATAATTTCTTTTTTTTTTTTTTTTTTGAGACAGAGTCTCACTCTTTTGCCTGGGCTAGAGTGCTATGGCATTAGCCTAGCTCACAGCAACCTCAAACTCCTGGGCTCAAACAATCCTTCTGCCTCAACCTCCTGAGTAGCTGGGACTACAGGCATGCGCCACCATGCCCAGCTAATTTTTTCTATATATTTTTAGTTGTCTGATTAATTTCTTTCTATTTTTAGTAGAGACGGGGTCTCGCTCTTGCTCAGGCTGGTCTCGAACTCCTGAGCTCAAACAATCCGCCCGCCTCGGCCTCCCAGAGTGCTAGGATTACAGGCGGAGCCACCGCGCCCAGCCAATAGCTATAATTTCTTGATCTAAAAATTACAAAAGTAATGGTACTTCTGGTTGATCAAAGCACTTTTCAGGGGGAGGGAGGAAGTTTTACCAACACCAATGACAGAAAATGGCTTTAAGTAACTGAGGCGCTTTATGAGTCATCATTAAAGTACCAACACAATCTCAGTCATGGAAGAATTGACTGAGCTAAAATCCCAAACTGACGTAAAATAGCTAACAGATGTGATTGATTTTAAGAGGCCTCAGATGAAGGCTCATGCAATTACAGTGAGAGGATAAGTAATATTAATATAACATATCCTGGATGACTAATCTGAAGGAGTCATGTTTGCAGAATTTTATTAAGCATTTTCAATAATATATATATTTCTTCTGATCATAAAAATGTTACATACCGTAGAAAAATTGAAAAATAGGGACAAATATAAAGAAAATGAAATAATTCATAATGACAGTAGACAAAGATTCTTTCAGCTAACATTATAGACCACTTCTTTTCTATTTTTTCTCTCTGTGTATTTGTAGATGTAAAGGTTTAGCAAAATGATGCTTAAGTATTGCTTCATATCTGCCTTCTTTTATTCAATATAAGCAAGTGTTTATCCTATATCATAATTCTTGAAAATGTAGTTTTCAATGGCATTACATGAATATAACACTATTATTTAATAATTCCCCATTGTTGAATATTTATATTTTTATAATAACATTATTATTTATAATAACAAAAACTTTTTTTCCAGCAGAAATGCTATAAAGGACATTCTTGCAATACATGTTTATGTCCTATCTACAATTATTTCCTTAGAATAAATTAGAAGTAGGCCTACCAGGTATATTAATATATTTAAGGTTCCCAAAACTTATTGCTAAAATGTCTTTCAGAAAGTGTACCAAATACTTCCTCACCTACAAAGTATGAAAGTGCTAATTTGAGGATACCTTTTCCAATCCTTAATATTTAAATATTTGAGGTTAAAATATTATGAAATATTTTTATTTTTTTAATTTCAGAAATTAATGAATGATATAAAGTCCTCCAACCCCACTCCCACCCTGTCATTGCCAATAGTGACCTGGGTAGGCTTAAATATAATGTCAGATTCTGGGACGCCAATCATTCAAGTTCTAGATTTTATTGGGGCCAAATAAAGAGGAAAACATAGCCATACATTTAAAAAGATCAATTACAATTATGTCCTTTGATCCTTTTTCAATTCGTCTAATTGACTCACAACATTGTTTTGTTTTAACATTTTCCTTCTATGATAACTACATCTCATAGCTCACTGCATTTGTGATAGTTGAAGGCAGATTCCTGGGGAACAAGACATGGAGACAATGATCTCCTTAGGAGAGGTTCAAATCTTGCTGGAATCATAAAAAGGCTGAGAGGTCAGCCTGTAAATAAGTCAGGGAGAGACACGTCTACACATTTTGCCAAATGAAACCCACCATCTTGACGCCTGAAGTAATTAATGGAAAACTTAAAGGGCAAATTGAGTACTCCAGGGTATGTATGAGTGTATTTATGGATGCATATATATGGATCAGGTTAGTCACAGCTAAGAGCTGGATGGTTCCTGCTGTGGTTGTGAAGAACAATCGGTATATTTTTGCTGTGGGGTCTTTACCAAGGCTCTTATTCAGAATACTAGGTATGATAACGTAGCCCCCTTCACACTCACTTTTCAAACCCACTCCTACTCTCCTCCCATCACTAAATCCTACCTTCCCTAATGGAAGGAAACAGAGAAGCTTAGATCTGTTGCCAAAGCCCTTCTGTGTCTGTGTGGGTGTGTTAGGGGTGAAGTGGGGGAATAGTTAGGTTCCCTGACTTGATCTTGATTCATCTGACCGAGGAGAACATGTCCTCACCTAAAATCGCAGGAAAAATAATATACTTTAGAAGCAGTGTTACGCAAGTGCCAAGATATCCAGAAGGTCAACCCCAAACCCAATAAAGTACAATGTTTATAAAGCAACCAATCATGGATAATCCTCTGAGACTATGTCTACAGAACTCTAAATAACTACTAATTCTTTTGAACCAGTTATTTGGCAATATGCATTTTTTAAAAAACCTAGTTCTTCACCAGACTTAGTCACTTTAAACCTTATAGAGACAGAATAGGTGGCTTAAGTGGGGATGTATCTTAGTTCAAGGATTGAATATAAAACCGTCACTTTGTATACCAACTTTTCTTTTGTAATATCCAAGAAGATATTGGAGATGTGGGAACAACATGTGCAGGAGAATATGGTAATTCATTATGATTTAATCTTACAGAAAACAGAAAATCCCCCAATAGTGGAATAGGCTTAGTAGTGCTGACCATCAAGGAAGAATGGGATGAAGAAATACAAGTGGCAGAAAGCTTGAGAAAAAGTGACCCAAATCGCTGAGGATTTACTAATAGATAAAGGAAGGAGTGAGGAGCCTCAGCAGGCCTGGACTCTAGACCAGTGTTCTTCAAAGAGGTTTGTGCTTGCCCCAGAGAGAATGTGGGATGATACACTGGGGTATGAATGGAATACTGAACTATTATTTTTAATTTTTTAGTTAGTTGTTATAGTGGATTGAATTGTCTTCCACCCAAAATATTAATATATGTTCAACTCCTAACTACTGGTACCTGTGAATGTGACCCTGTTTGCAAATAGGGTTTTGCACATGTAACCAAGTTAAGATGAGGTCATCCTGAATTAGTGTGGGTCCCAAATCCAATGACTGGTGTCCTTTTAAGAAGAGAATAGGACACACAGGGAAGAAGGCCATGTGAAGACAGAGGCAGAGAGTGGAGTGATGCAGCTATACAAGGAATGCCAAGGCTTGCCAGGTGCCACAAGAAGCTAAAAAAAAAAAAAGGCGGCTTCTTCCCTTGAACTTTCAGAGGGAATGTGGCCCTGCTGAAACCTTGATTTCAGACTTCTGGACTCCAGAACTGTAAGAGAATAAATTTCTGCTGTTTTAACGCACCCAGTTTGTGGTTAAGTTATTAGGGCAGCTCTTGGAAACGAATGCAGTTGTTTACCGAATACATGTTGAACACCAGTGAATTCACTGGATTCTAATTAACAACTAAGGGGTAAGATATTTGTTACGTTCACCTAATTCTTCAGGTTTTTCAAAGGTGAGATGGTTCAATAAGACTCTCATTACATCTTAAATTATGTGATACATTAGTGAGCAAATGCCAACCATGTGACAGACACATGGGTCAGAGCAAGAGGAATCTGAGTAACTTTGCAGAACAAAAATGTGTCATCTAAAGCTGCACCAGCACACTCTGTCTTCCCTGTGCCTAATCATGTGCAACAGTTTCCTCCTACGATTCTTTCTGATGCAGCTGGCCAAATATAGAGCCATTGAGAGGTTTTATTTTATGTGGATTCCAAGGTAAAGCAGTTTAATTATGACCATTAGAAGCAGCACTTTAAACTTCCAAAGCTTTAATTCTTTGATCAGCATTTCTTTTAGTTTTATAAACCACAAAGCTTGTCAAACTCTCTCCAAACCAAATCCCTTGGCAAAACTGGGTATAGCAGGCCTTCATAGGGATTCAAAAATTGTAAATGATGTTTCAAAATATTTTGGCACAAGATAAGTGGCTGAGTGAGATCCAACAATCAGCCTATGTATATTTTTTCAATGTATCCTTTTGATTTCTATTTTTGTATATCTTAAAAATATATATATGAATTTATAGAGATATATATATACACACACATATAGATCTGTCTATGCATGTGTATAGGTATATATAGTGTGTCTGTATGCATATGTAAATATATAGATATATACATATATATAGAGGGGGGAGAAAGGGAGAAGAGAAACTATTTATTAATAGTTCTGGGCTTTCTATTGTTATCATTACTGTTACACATGCACATAATTAAAAGATAAATATTGGTATACTTGAGGGAGACATATATATAAAGCGTTTTAATTTATAGGTACACATATCAAGAAACTTTAAAGATGACTTCTGTGAACTTTAAGGATATAAATTTCATAAAGTTCATAAAAAAGGTAGGTTCTATTTTATTGCCAGAGCAATAAAATGAATGACAGATCCAGAATGATGGGAGGCTGTCAAAAATAAAATGTTAACAATGCAATCATAAATGGTCCTGGCGGGGAAGAAAAGGACAGTCATTGTCACACCTGCGTGGTTGCATAGGGAGTTCTCCCAGCAGTTCAGAGTTTAAAAGAGTATTTGACAATAAAGGAGGGGAAGATCCTATCCAAGACAGTACAAAGGGACAGCACCTTACTGAAAAAAATAGCATGAAAATACTGACGTTCAGGAAGTGCTGAGGCTTTTAGAAAATACCAAGGAAAACAAGACTTTTAAAACAAAAACATCTGAAGGGATACATTGAGAGTAAAACGAGAATAAGGGAAGAGAAACTGGGACTAAGATTGACTGTGGGCTTACTGTGTGTTAATTACTATACCCTGTTCTCCCTTTTAGTATTTGCAAAAGCCTGTGGAGACACTGATTATAAATGCTACTTTATAGATGATGAAGTGAGGAAACTGGGATGCTGGAGAGATTCATTAACTTGCCCAAGGTCACTACAGTATTAAACAGTATATAGAAGAGACTGGACAGAACCAGGACAGGGCAGATTCTAAAATACAGTCTCCTTTCACTACTCAAGGGTGGTGATCTAATAAGATAAAGAACCTCCTCCCTCCCTTTTCTTCTTCCTCCAAAGGATTGCATGCCCATGATATCTTAGCTGCTGCTTTTGGTTGTGCCAGACTAAGTTCTCAGCAAGAGAGGACCATCAGCTCCTGGTGCCTTCATTCAGTCATCACACAACATTGGTGAGACTCTGAAATGCATTCAGTGAAGAGCGATACACCACAGAACAGGACTCAGTCCCTCTACTCAGGAAGCTCACATGAAGGCAAATAATAGCAACATCAGTGCAACAATAAAGGCACGGAGGGCTGTAGGAGCCCTGGGAATCATGAGGCAGGTGTGTGAGGTAGATGGTTTGCCTCCTTCTTACCTAGCAGGGGAAAAGGAGAGAAGCATAGAAAAATATTACCAGTAAGGATGAAATCCAAGATATGTACAAAAAAAGTAATGGAATAAAAAGGTGATTTAAATTCATTCACCTAATTATACCCTAAGATACTTAAAAAATATAAATATTTGAAGGCAAAAAAGAAAAAAAACGATGTTATCCAGGTTTGCAAAAAAGCAGAAAGGGCAAAGTCCAAAACTCCAAGCAGATGTTGGCTATTGCTCTTTTGAACTTTTTTTTTTTAGAACTGGTCATTAAACAGATGGTTTATAAAGATTTAGAAAGAAAGTGGTAACTTCCAGGATGAACATGGCATAAGTCAGCATTTTCTACTTTCCTCTTGGAAGCCATCCAAAAACAAGGAGAATAGATACTGCAGATGGCAGACCTCATTTTCTATAAAACCAGGAGAAAGATAACTGCAGTCTCCAACATATGTGTAATGGCTGTAAAAGCAGTTGAGACTGGTCATAAGCCACATGGAAGAAAGTACAAAAGAAGTGCAAAGAGTGACAGACACGAGAGCCCAGGGGAAGGACATCTCAGAAAATGCTCACAAAAATATAGCCCCTGAAGGTGAGGAGCATTTTCTGCAATGTGAAAGGTGTATTCCTTATTTGTAATGTCTTGTGCAGGAATTGGGTTGAGCAGGGCTTTGAACAGAAACATTCCTGGAACTGGAATGTGGTGAAGCCACCTAAAGAATACAAGAGGAGCCATTCTTGCAGGAAGTAATGGGACTCCGAGGCAGCCTAGAATGAGAGAGAGACTGAATTGAAAAAAGCTGATAGCATGAAGACTGTCACATCTCTCCCTGCCACGGGGACTTCTATCTGTAAATAGCTGCCCAGAAAAGTCCCATAATTTGATGATGAATAACAATAACACCAAAATAATAAGGGACAAGGAGATTTATTATCAGAAAAAAAGTAGGAAAAGTGTAGCAAAATTTACAAACACATGAACAATGCATATCAGATAACTGATGCCATGGCACAAATAAAAAAAATGTAAGAAAATATTTCATCACAAATTTTAAAACCACAATTAAAGGAGGAAACAATAGTTTATGCAGAAATACAATAATTCAAGGAAGAGAATAAAAAAGGTCTCAATGCACTGATATGGAAATGTCTGTTTTTTTTGAGACAGAGTCTCGCTCTGCCAGGGCTAGAGTGCCATGGCATCAGCCTAGTTCACAGCAACCTCAAACTCCTGGGCTCAAGCTATCCTCCTGCCTCAGCCTCCTAAGTAGCTGGGACTACAGGCATGCACCACTATGCCCAGCTAATTTTTTCTATTTTTAGTAGAGACAGGGTCTCACTCTTGCTCAGGCTCGTCTCAAACTCCTGAGCTTGAGCAATCCTCCCACCTTGGCCTCCCAGAGTGCTAAGATTACAGGCATGAGTCACCGCACCCGGCTGGAAATGTCTTTGAGATATATTGTTAAGTGAAAAAATTAAGACGTAGAAAACAGATACAGAATGTTACCATTTAGGCATAAAAGCAGGAGCAAATGAATACATAAATGTACAAACTCCTGTCATTATAGCTTTTGTAACTGGATATCTAAAATGAAACTCTGAAAGGATATGCAAGAAACAATAACAGTGGAGGTATCGGCGGGGGGGGGGGGGGGGGGGGGGGGGGGGGGGAGGCAGCAAGGGGCATGAATGGTGTCCACACTGGGAAGAAGATTTTTCATTGTTTATCTTTTTATGTATTTTTATTGTAAATGGTGTGACTGTATTCTCTCTTCAAAAAAATTAAATAACCTTTTAAGGAGACAGAGAGTCATGATAGCTAGAGATCTAGCACAGTTTCACTAAGAAATTAATAAAGGCTATGTCCAATTAGTTTCATTTCCTTTTTAGGGCAGGGTTATTGAACTGGGTTATGAGAGTGAAATCAGAAATTAAGCTTACTTGGATATCACATTTGACAAAGTTCGTACCATATTTCCTTCTGAGCTGGACAGAAGAATGCGGGCTAGGTATGAATGCAAGCTGGTGGATTTTGAGCTACTTCCATGACCAAATTCAAAGGGTGTGCATTATGCTGGATATGTGCAAACTGGGAAGGAAGATTATATCCTTGATCTTTTTCTGCTTAATATTTCAAAAATAAAGATACCTATTTAATTTACATATGACATAAAATGATAAGAATCACTAATATGCTACACAAAAGAACTTTAAAAATAAATAAAATAATCCATTGCCTCTAGCAAAGATCCCAAAACAGCAGATGAATGCATGAGTGGAATAAATACAAAAACTAGTACTAAAGCTGACAAAAGTCAGCTGCATACTAGGAAAAGGCAACATCTGATTTAAAAGTAGATCATGTGAAAATACACTTTTTGGTTTTAATTGACTATATACTCTAGAAAAATGTACACCAAACTTAATTTAAACTTATTATAAGTATAATTCAAAACAGCAGTGGTTACTGTTGTTCTGTACCCAGCAGTTGTCAGAACATATACGCTATCCTATATTTATTCTGGAGAAATGTTTTAAAAGGAGACATTGATAACCAGGGTATCTTGGAAAAGAGAACTTAGAATTTCAAACTACTTCAAAATCAAGAATTGAGGATGCTAGCCTAAACCCAGAAAGACTGGGAGGACATTTGGTAGAATTTGCCAAATATTTGAACAATTGTCATTTAGAGGTTAGAACAGACCTATGTAGTTTGAATTCAGAAGCACAACTAAGATCAATGAGTGGAATTTACGGGAAGTACAATATAGGATCGATAGCAAGAATAATTGTTTAATAATTAGAAATGTCAAAATTGGGAGACATTAATAGCAATGATCATATGAAAAGTCACTTAACCTGATCAATAATTAAAGAAATGCAGGCCACGCCCAGTGGCCCATGCTTGTAATCCCAGCACTTTGTGAGGCTGAGGCAGGAGGATCGCCTGGGCCCAGAGTTTGAGGTTGTAGTGAGCTATGATGACACCACTGCATTCTACCCAGAGTGACAGAATGAGACCCTGTTTCAAAAAAAAGAAAGGAAATGCAAACCAAACAACAAGATGCTATTTTTAAAAATTATTTTTGGTTCTATCAGACTGACAAAAATCATACAGATTGGTAACATCCAGTTTAGGGAAAGATGTGGAGAAATGAACATGCTTATCCATTGCTGGTCTCAATGGCACAACCACTGAGAAAGGTAGTAGCTATCAGAGCTTAACATGCACATACCCTTTGATCCAGCACTTACATTTCTAGGCATCTCATTTGGAAATATCCATGTCACTGTGCACACTATAGGTTCAAAGATATCCTAAATATTGATCAGTATTATGGTATATCCATGCTCTGGATTATTATGCATCTACTAATCCAGGACTTATTACTAAGTAAAAAAATTAAGTTGCAGACTGCCAGTCTAATCTTACTGTAAAAACAACAAACCCCACAATGATGTTATTTGTTGGTACATGCAGGGAAAATCACCTGAAAGTATAGAAATCAAACCGTTGCATTGGGGGGAGTACGGTGAGGGACAGGAGTAGAGGATAATTCTATGCATTTTTGTAGTTTTGAATTTATATGTGAGCACGTTAGGTTTTTGCAATTAAAGAAATAAAGACTTTAAAGATGGAAGGATTGATTTGTAAAGTGGTGAGCTCTTCGTCACTGGAGTACTCAAGCATAGGCCCAAGGAAGAGTGGGAGGTAGGGAGGAAAGAAAGTTGCATGAGATGATCTCTGAGTACCCCTGACACCCTGAACGTCCTGGAACCACTCTGCTACTCCTCCTCTAACTCACACAGCTGAAGCTCCAACAAGGTGTAGGAAAATAGAACACTTTAAAAATGAGATAAATCAAGGTAATTGCTGCAGAGACCTTGTGAAATCCACCATCATAGGGAAGCAGCCAGGCCTTCCTGACACACCATCTACTGCCTCTGACGTGCTTTTTTTCCTCTGCAGTACAGGTCACTTTTATTATATTAAATTTGTGTGTATGGGCGTGTGTGGCCAGACAGATGTAAGTAAATCCAGGAAGCTGATACAGGGTTTAAGCCTCTGGCAAGTGCCCTCATGAGCTGCTAGATTTCCTTCCTTCCTCCATGGCTGGCTGCCCTTGAATCACCTGAAGCTCCTCTTCCTTGCCACCCTCAGTGTAAGGAAGCAACCTGCCCTGAGGCTTTGAAGCTGAGGGCACCTGTGGGAATCCAGCCGGGCCTTTGCTGTCCACGTGTAGGTGCTGAAGTCCCAGGGGCCTGCCTGCCGCCTCCCACTCCCAGCCATCCCTTTGTGCCCAGGAAACAGAGGTGAAAGCACATCTGTATCTTGCTGCTTACCGCTTATTGGCTACAAACAGGACTTTCCCTGAGAGAGTCTCCCCTTCCTTGGCAAAAAGAGGAGTCTGCAGGAGGCACCGCACCTGATACCAATGAGTCAGAGGCTCGGTTGGGGCTGTCGACAGCCAAACTGTTACCCTGTGGGGCAAGAAAAGAGTTAAAAGCCAGTTACATGCCAGACCCACATTAATGGGTTGGACAGGGACCACAGTTGATAAGTGGTTGTCACTCTTTTTGACTCATGGAACCCTTTTAAGATAAGGACGCTCAATTTGTGCAGCAAGTACCATATGTATTGAGTGCTGAACTAAGACTTTATGTACATTATTCCATTAAATCTACACAGCAGCCCTATGAAGTATGCCCAGCACCACACAGAGGGCAACTGGAGAGCCGGGCTTCAGATTCATAGACTTGGCCACCATATCAACCTGCATTTCTGAATCAGAGCTCATTAGAGGCCCAATGAGTAACAGAGTTCAATTAGAAACTGATTTGTTTGAAAAGTATAGCAAAGGGGAGAAGTCTGGAGTCTGGCCTCTTACTGTCTCATGCCAAACTATTCAGGGGTCCTGAAGTGAGAAAAATGTGTAGAACAGATGGTCACTACTGTCCTTCCAGCTTGGACATTGTGTGTGTGTGTGTGTGTGTGTGTGTGTGTGTGTGTATGTGTGTGTGTTAAATTGAGGTTCTTCATTTCATATAAAGAGGTGAGAACATCTTCCTGTGCTCCTAACACCGAGGTCACCTGTCCTGGGGCTGGGCAGCGGTTGCTGGCGAGGTGGGGAGCAAGGTGCACATTAAGTATGGGGCCAATTCCTAAAGGGTCAATTTTGACTTGAAGATTTTGGGGAAAATTTTTATGTAATTTAACTACTAAGTAATACAAACCACTTTTAGATAAAAATATACTCAGATATAGTACAGAGTGGAATGCAAATTACACACACACACACACACACACACACATATATATATATATATATAAAAGATAAAGCATTTAACTTCAAAGACACTTCCCTCTTGAGGTAGGCCACATCTTCCTTACTCTTGCAAGAACAAATTCACTTATGTGGAATATTACTAGGGGACCAAATATTTGGATTCCTTGGATAAACATGCTTACGTGGAGTAGGAATGATTTGTGCATCTTTCTCTCTTACTGTCAGCTCTGACAGGGCTTTCAGGGTTGGGTCCCCTCTTCCCTTTAGTCCCCAAAGACCCCATCCCCACCCCTTCTAAGCAGGTGCAATGATAAGCCTAGACACTCTCACAGGGAGTGGAGGAGAGTACAATGTAAACGTTTCCCTTTGCCTGGGCATGTGACCCAGACCAAATCTTTTTGGTAGCTGGAACACACGAGGAAGCCTGGGAAAAGAGTAGGGAAGTCAGGAGGAGAACAGAGATTTGGAGGCCGGGGAGTGATGCAGCCCATGCCAGAAACACCAAACATTAACATCCAAGTTGTAGGTGGTCTTTTCCCCGTAACTTTCAAACCTGTGCAGTAGAGGAAAACAGAGTGCACAGATGGAGAAGTTTGCTAATGCTGCAATTAGCATTAGTAATACATACCTGCCTGATCATTAAAAGATTCCAGGGTGTGAACAGAAGTGGGGGAAAAGTAAGATTCAGGAAATTACCCAGACACAAGAGGTTATATAACCAGGTATGTTGGAAACAAAGGCAGGGGCTTGGGTTGCCACTCCATCTAGTCTAGAAAGACCAAGAAGGTTGGTAAAGCACAAACCCTCTCTCACTAATCCAAAGCTCAATCCATTTGGCTTAAGAGGCTTTGCATATTTTAGTCAGAATTGATACGACACATGGAAAACCATCTCATTTTCACTTCATCCTAAAATCTACAAGCAACATTAACATCTGTGTTTATTTCCTTGAAAAGTGGAGAAACAAGTATTAGTGTGGTTGAAATTGATTCTTAAACACTTTAAAATTGTGATTACAAATAGTGGAGGGAAGCATGGGATCCAGTGGGCTAAGAAGGGGGTGGGAGCAGGATACACACCGAGATCCAACAAAGGCCACGTCAAACCAGAACGCCAGGCCGTGGACGAGGCCAGACTGCGCCATCTGAAACACAAAGGGGATTTCTACTCTGCAAGGAAATAGAAAGAAAGAAGGAAGAAACACTTGGAATTATTGTTTTTCTTGTTGACAGATACTCTAAATATATTTGTGAGATCAGTAGGAACATTCATAGAATATTTTCTTTCTCTCTTAAACACTTTTGCTTTGGCAGCAAGTTTCTCTCAGTGTGTGAGTAATGCTTGGGTGACATTGCACATTGGAGAAGCTTGCGTCTTGACAAAACCCTGCAAGAACCGTGCTAGGTGCTGCCATGACCCAGAACTGCACAAGGGTGAGTGTAGCATCTGGTGCTGGGTTTGACTACTGAAGAGGAGGATGACTCAGGACACAGGTGACAATCATCCTTCAAGGAGCCAAAACGTGGGTGGTGGCAGTTCGCCTGTGCAGCTGTTCAGAAGGTAATGTCTGTTCAGACCTCTGAAAAATTGAATGGATCACAAGAGGAGCATCAAGCTCGGAACGTCATTGTCATAGTTCATTTCTTTTGCAGGGAGGCAATTTAACTTCCCACCAGGCTATAACAAGAGTCATGCAGAAGTGGCCATGGTTTATGCCAAATGCAGAATAAGCAGGAATAGGAAAAACATTGGAAAAGATACAACAAATTCTAGATGCTGAACCTATTTTAGCTGTGTAACTTCAGAAAGTTACTTAAGTTCTCTGAAACTCAGTTCGTTGAAAGGCAACAAAATCTCTCTCCTGCTTTCCTCACAAGGTTCTTGTGCATGCCAAATAAAAAAATGTATATATGAGAGTGCTGTGCAAACTTTGAAGCATTTCATATATAAAAGGTGATGTTATTGGTCCATCTCTGAGGCTGGATCACTCCAAAGACTCTTATTTTATTGAATGCTCTGCAGGTTTTCAAAGGAGGTTGTATGATGTTATTTGCATTCATGGTGCCCCCAAAGGCTGAACTTCTTTTACCCTTTAGCCATTAGAATACTTCTAGAGTTTTCCATTGTCCTTGTCACATTGAATTTATTGGTCTTACACTGTAATTATTTCTTCTCATTTTTTGCATCCCCTAAATAGACTATGAGCTCCTCAAAGATAGAGACTTTAAAAAATTACTTTTCGTATCTGTACAAGCACCAACACAGTTACCTGGCATATAGTAGGATTTCAATAAACATTTGCTGAATCAATGCACAAGTGAATGAATGATATCTCTGGAAAAACTACATAGATATAATTTTCAAAAAAATTTCATAGGACTCAGGAGGTAGCCCAGAGTAGCAAATAAAGCTAATGAAAGAGAATTTTGTCTAGACCTTTGGTAGTTATTAGAGTTGTATTCAGATGCCAGTTCTCTTGTACTGAGCATATGGTAGGATTGCATTTTTCTACCCACTTAAGCTCAGGTATTTCCATGTGATTTGCTTTGACTAATTAAATGTGCACAGAAGTGACTTGTGTCATTTCAAGGCAGAAGCTTTAATTGTCAGTGCATACTTTGCCATGCTCATTCTTTCTCTTCAGTGACCAGCACTGTTCCAGACAGGAGCTGCTGCATCATCCCAATTACTAGTGTGGGTACTCTGTGGTAGCACTAAAGCTGGTTTACAATGGATAAATAGTGTCAGGTAGCAAGAGATATGTGTTTTAGAGGCCACTGAGGTGTCTTTTTGTTACTGAAGCATGCTGTAGCCTATCCTGACTGATACTGGATACCCTTTGTGATCTTGAGATGGGTGATGTTTTTGACTTAGCCAGCTGCACTTTCTAAAATCTGACCCTTGCTTCCCCAATAGCTCTAGGCAAATTACAACCTGGTGGGTCTTAATTTTCTTAACCAGAAAAAAAAATATAAATACTGATCTTCTCACGGAGAAAGGGGCAAGATGCTAGTGAAAGGTCACCCAAAGGGGATTCATATCACTATCTAAAAAAATAGAACCAAGTCAAGGCACGAGTCTTCATTTCAGAGTTCTTTTCAAGTAGAGGGGAAGAGGACAAAAACTAACATTTATTGAGTGCCTTCTTTAAAAATGAGCCAGTGCCTATGAAATACTTAGCACAACACTTAGTATGCAGTAAACAATTAACAAGTTGTACCTCTTTTCTTGTCATTGTTACATGCACTGGCCTGGGTGAACTCACATATATGCTCTCACTTGAAAAGCATTAAAGCAGAGTGGTTAAAAGCCCAGAACTTGGAGCCTTTGGAAAAGTTCAAATCCTAGCTCTAACACGCTTCTTAATTCTGTGACCTTATGCAACCTATCATTCAACCCTGCCGCATTTTTGTCATCTGTAAAATGGGAATAACAACAGTACCATTCACACAGGATTGTTGTGCAATTAAATGAGTTATTGAGAGCTCAGAACAGTGGTTGTATAAGTACAAGCTATGCTATTACTATTTACTTTTTCTCATTCAGTTCTTAAAATGATCCTACGAAGGAGACATCATTATCCTCATTTTGCAGTAAATGAAACTCATATTGATATACCATTCCTGTACGTGATTCACATCTAAAATCTTCCCCCTGTGTGAGCAGCAGAAGTCTGCATTGAAGTTTTTGGTGGAGGACGTGGAGAGGAGATTTTAAGCATCAAGAGCAACACTGATTTGTACAAACCTGTGCAGATCTTCCTCTTCTGCATCCATGAAGTTTATTGTGTATTTGACAGTCTGAGCCATCAAAATCCTAACGTCAAATGTGTCCTCAGGGGGAAAAAACATCGAAGATGTTACCTTTCTGTCAAGACAAACTGAATTCAAGCAAGTTTGCAGTCTAGTTCTCCTCATGCATCACGAGTTAGGATATAAGCAGGCATGAGCTTAATGAGAATAATATTAATAATAAAAACTAACCTTTATTGAGCACTTACTATATGCTAAACATTAAGTGCTAAGGGCTTTATTAAGTTTTAGCATTTATTCCTTGAAACGTCTCTAGAGTAAGTATTTGGTGTTTTTTTCAACAATCCAAAATTTATTCAGAGGTGAGGATTTCTCTCTTCCCCACATTCTGTCCAAGAAGTTCCATATGAACTTAGTCAACCCTCTGCAACAGGTATGGCATTTGACCCCCGATTAGTCAATCACAGCATTACTTTTCCCCTGAAGGCAGTGACTGGTTGATAGATGGGCACATGACCCAAGATAGGACAATCAGGCTCTGTCTAAACAAAATCTGAGGCTTTTGCCTAAGTTACTAGGAAAAGGCAGCCTCTCCTGCAGAACTTAGAGTTTTAAGAATCAGAGACTGGAGTTTCTGTGGCCATTTTGCTATCATGATAGGAAAACGTATCTAGGAATAGAGTTAAATCAGAGGAAGTGGAGACAAGCAATGAGGACAGAAAAATCAGATCCTGGCAACACTGTTGAAGCTCCTGCAATAGGACCCCGAAGCAAACTCTATCTCCAGGCTTTGCAATTTTTAAGGGACAGTCATTCCATTTTAACGTGAGCTAGTTTGGTTTGGGTTTCCTTCCACTTACAACTGAAAGAATTTCAGGTGATGCAAACTTAAAATTTGCCCAAGGTTACACAGCTAGACAGGGCCACAATTGAAACTCAAATCTGATTAACAGGAAAGCTCCAGCTGCAAGCTATTATACAATGCTTCCTCTTCTATTATCCCGTGGCCACTAGAATCAATGGGAAGTTGTGAATTATTGAACAAGTGTGAGGGTTGAGTGTGTGTATGGGGTGTGTTAGGGCAGTGGGGGAACTAGAAGTTACTTATTGAAAGGTAGTTAGGAAATCTCCTTGCTTTCAGTAGTATCGCTCTCTGACAGTGTTTTTAATTGGTTGGGATATCAGAGGTAGAAGACTGAAAAACACGGTACTCTAAGGACTTCTTTCTCTTCTTCTGTGATGGCTTAGCACAGAACCTGGCAGTGCACTGCGTGCTATGCGAATGAGTAAATCAATACATAAACGCGTGGGAGCAAGCCTGTAAAGAGAGCACACTTACTACTATTGGCTGTCTGAAGTATTCGTCCACTGCCGCACCCTGGAGACTGGACAGGTTGACCCCATAGAAGCACTGCTGGTACCTAAAATAAGCAGCACAAAGAATCACCATGCACTTGCCCCTCACATGAGTCCCCAAGCCCCCCATCGCTGTGATGTGCTGTGAGGCGGCTGCACAGGTCCTCTACGTTAGCCCTGGAGCGAGTGTTCAAATGTGTGAGGCGTAACTTGTCTATAGAAAGTGGCAGGAAATTGTTTCTAGAAAATCTTCAGACCTGTACCTGACCTGGGGCTGGGGTAAACAGCAGAGGAGAGGAAGTTGAGTTGAAGGAAATTACTTGTGGGTGATTATTGGGAAGGATAATTGGGAGCAGGAAGGCCACTGGGCTTCCTACCTTGATCTCATGCCCCGTAGGTAGCCTCCTGCTCCGCGCTGTCCAAGTGCTGAAATGCAATTTCCTTGGCCCTCTCACTATCCCAGCCCAGAGCACAACTTCAGATCTCCAAAGCCTCTTGACACTCCTGCTGTTTTAGAAAATAGATTTCCCTTTTCTATTCTTCCATAGCCACTGGCCTGCACCTTCTTGATGGCATTTGCTGTGATGGCTGACACCAAGCAGCAAGCCACAAGCGAGCAAAGGCTGTATCGGGTAGTGAACTGGAGCCAGCTCATACCAGCTTACCAGAGCCCACTGTGCACACTTCTTCCCAGTTCCATGGTCAGTGACATCTGAACTATTGAAACTGGCAAACACTACAAATCACATCTTCAGTCCCCTCCTCCCACTCAGAGAGCCAAAAGAATAAAGCATTTACAAGCACATCACTGGCTCTGTCTTACCTTTATGTACCTGCTACAACTCAGACCATGCCTGGAGCATAATAAGTATTCTGTGTCAGCTTGGCTAATGGCTAATGGTCTTGAGTATTTAGAAAGGCAATCCAGGGTATGGATTAAGAGTGGCTTTGATTCTAGCTCTGACACTGACAAGCTGTGTGACTTGGACAAGTCATTTGAACTCTATGCCTCAGTTTCCTTATCTTTAAAATGAAAATATTAATACTTATAAGTTTTCCTTGTAGGGTTCTTGTAAGGGTTAAATCAGTTAATTTAAAAAAAAGCACTTTGAATAATGCTTGGCATTTTGTTACTACCGTAGGTGTTGGCGAGTATGCTCTGAACATCACCTTCTCGGATCAGTGCTTGGGACCAGGGCAGTGCTTCCCAATCTGACTTTGCTGAGCGATTACTTAGGGGAGCTTGTTAAAAATTCAGATTTCAAGGCCCAACTCCAGAAAGGCTTGGGAACCTTATCACTAGAGGTTGAAAGCCTTTATCTCTCACTAAGCTTCACTAATAAGGGTGTGTGTTTGCATGTGTTGTATAGTCTGTGAATCAGATAAGAACTCAATTCATTCCCCCAAACCTATGCTCATAAACCTGCAGGGAAGAGAGAAAAACAAAACAAGACACAGAAACATGGACTAAACAAAAACATTTGTGGTGCAGCCAGAGTTTGATGGAAGGATCAGGTAAAGTGAGGCTCCAAATTAGGAGTCAAAGCCTCAAATGCCACCCCCGCTTCCCCACCAGCAGCAGTGCGGAAGGGCAGGCCTAGTAATATTAAATCAGCAGCCAGTCCTCAACATGCAATTAAAACTCAAGCCCCACTGAATAATCTGGGGACTCTTCCTGTGCTTGTACCATTTCTCTGAGCCTTTGGCTGTTTTCCCCTTTACCTAGAATGCTCCTTTCCCTCATTTGCCCTGTTAATTCCTACGTGATCTGTAAGACTCAGCTCAAATATTTCCATTTAAAAATTTAAAACCTTGGGGGCAATCAAATATTTATGTTTCACTCACTGAAAAACAGAAGTATTTTCTTATTCATTCCTGTATATTTAGCACTTTGCATTGGGCCAGGAATATGGTTAGGGCTAAAATTATCTATCTACATTTATCTATCTAATTAATGAATTCATCAGTGAGTGAACTGGAGGGCTTGGTGTCCTCAATGGCTCTATATGTGGGCATAGGTACCAATAATAAGGATAAGGAAATGGGAAGTCATTTGCCCAAGTTTCCCCGTCTTCTGCTTCCACCAAGGGCCAGAGCCAAGCTGGCCCACAGGTAAAGCCAAACCGTGCAGCTTATCATTTTATAAATACATCTATTGAAAACAAGGCATCTATAATTCTAAAAAATGTTTGAAAACAGAACATCATAGGTTTAAATGAACTTTTCAATATTTACAATGAGGATGGGAGTGTTCTCAGGAAATAGTCATTTTCATAAAAGCCTGTTTGAGGGAAGGAGAAAGAAAGGCGGTCAGGAGGAGAGAAAGAGGAACACAAAGAGGAAGAGAAGGAGAGGGTGAGGGAGAAGGAGGGAGGAACAGAGAAAGAGAGAGAGACAGATCCAAGAAGAGAGAGAATTTCCCAGTTAGCCCACAAGGTCTCAACTTCTATTTTTTAAAATTTCTTGGGAAGCTTTTAAAGAGTGCTGATGCTTGGACTACTTCCACCCCACCCCTAAATTGTGACTTGTTTATCGGTGTAGTCCTAGTGCCTGTTTGTTTCCAAAGCTCAACAGGTGATTCTAAAGTACAACCAGGGTTAGGTACTAAGTTATTCTAGATTCCTGAACAAGTAGGTAAAAGAGAAAGCCCCAAGGGCAAAGAGAACCCTCCACCTGGAAATGATTGAGTTGAAAATTGCTTTCTATGTGCTGACTACAACCTCAGCTCTCAGAGGGGATGCATCTGTCCCATTTACTTTGCATGTTTGGTACCAATTAAAACCCAGCAGCCACAATCAGCATGGCACAAATGGGCACAATTTCTGGGGCAGATGGGGGAGCTATGGGCAAAGAGCCCACTGCCTGGGTTTTAAAATTTTCTGGCTGGACCATATTTCACATTTCTAATTCTTAGAAATCTCAAATATCCTTTTGTAATGCATCATAAAATAATTAAAGCAGATGGGATCTGGCATTTCTCTGGGTCTCCTAAGATACACTGTTGGGGGGATGGATGAGAAAACTAATCTGTTGACTTGGGAACTAGGGAGAGTTTCCATTGTTTTCATCAGAAATGGGTTTTATTTTCCAAGTTAATTTATGGATGCTTTATGAACACGTTAAGTGAAAGAGTCTGTGTGTTTTTTCTCTTCAGTTCACATTTCCAATTCCTACCATTCTTCGTGTGGGCAATTCTTCATATTTACTACCTCCACCACCACCACTATAATGCATGCAACATCTGGAAAGTTCTGCAAATATCATTCAGAGGAAAGCAATCTTGCTATTAGCTACTTCAAAACATATCCAGAGGTCAGAGAATGAGCCCATGTCCCATCACATTAACTCCATATTCTCCACACAGCCTATCTTGGAGAGGCATCCAGGAGAGCCTCCTTCTCTGGTCTTTTTTGTGTTCTTGTTGTTTCTCCTCTAGTTCACCTTGGTCTTTTGTTTTTTCTCCTCCTTCCACCTCTCCCCTCCCCACCAGTGTCCTGGATCCGTGTCAGAAGGCTGGTGGTACAGCCTTAGGTTCTCTTGTAGCTATTAGCATTGGTCTTTCAGATTCAACAGAGGGGAGCTTCTCTAATTAAGCACAAATTTCTCTGTCTAATATGAACACTCTCTCTCATAGCATAACTCAGATATTTTACTTTCATAGTCATATTTGCATCTGTATTCTATTCTAAGAAAAAATCTACTCATCTCCATTAAAACATTTTCTTCCTTTAAAAAATAAAGAAAACAAAGCAAGGAAGAAATATAGATGAAAGAAAGAGAAACAAAGAGAGAAGGAAGATGGGGGGGACTCACTGTGCTGTCTGGCAATTAAGCAACTTTTGTGTCAATGTGCTATGCTCCGCCAGAATTAACAATCAAGTGTACACTAACCTGATGAGAAACATACGTAACTCCAAGAACTTACAAAAGCAAGGATCCGAGACTGTCATGCAAGCCACAAATGGTGCTGAATGCAGCATAAGAACATGGTTGGAATAGGCCGGTGGGAGTTCATAGTAGGAGAAAGGTGTACATCTAGGAACAAACTGTATCTTTATTTGATTTCTTGTATATTTCTTACATCTAGCAGGACTTGAGACTTGGTTGTTTTCGACAATTTTCTTTCTTTTAAAATGAAATTAAATTTTATATGCGTTATTTTATGTGTTAACTGTGGTAAGAACACTTATATGTGATGTACCCTCTTAAATTTTTAAGGGTACATTATATTTGACTATAGGTAAGAGCTGTGCAGCAGACCTCTAGAACTTACTGTCATTGCTTGACTGAAGCTATAGGCCTGTTGATTAGTAACTTCCCATTTCCCTCCCCCCTCAACTGCCGGTAATCACCATTTCACTCTTTGAGTCTATGAATTTGACTATTTTAGATACTTCATATGCATAGAATCATGCAGCATTTGTCTATGACTGGCTTATTTCAGTTAGCATAATGTTCTTAAGATTCATCTACGTTGTCATATATTTCAGAATTTCCTTCTTTTTAAAGACAAAATATGTTCTCTTGAATATACATACCACATTTTCTTTATCCATTCATCCGTTGATGGACATTTAGGTTGTTTCCATAACTTGGCTATTGTGAATAATTCCGCAATGAACATAGAAGTGCTAATATCACTTCAAGATCCTGATTTCAATTCTTTTGGAAAAATACCTAGAAATGGGTTGGCTGGATCACATGGTAGTTCTATTTTTAATTTCTTGAGGAACTTCCATATCATTTTCCACAGCAGCTGCATCATTTTTCGTTCCCATTAACAGTATACAAGTGTTCCAATTTCTCCACATCCTCGTCAACACTTGTCTTCTGTTTTTTTTTTTTTTTTATAATAGCCATCCTGAAAGGTGTGAGGTGATATCTCACTGTGATTTTGATTTGATACAATTTTCTGCATCAGCAGAATGCAGGCAAACCACTGTGGAAGGTGGTATCTGTGTAAAAGATGCTTGCTCATCATGCCTCTGATTTTACTGGTTTAAACACCAGCAAAGTAGTATGGCTAATATTTTCAATGTGCTATGTTTATATACTTTTTGTATTT